GTTGTTGTGAGGGATTTTGAGGGATTTTTGGGTAATTGCAGGATGTTGTGAGGGATTTTTGGGTAATTGAGTTCAGTGAATCAAGTTGGGTTCGATGGAACCTATTTGCTGGGTTACATCGAACTCAGATTTACTAGGTTCTGTCGAACTTCAATCTTGAAAATGGAAAGAACACCGTTTATGGAAAGAAGAAAAAACAATAACTGATGCGTTAGTAGTGATGTGGGACCCATTTGGATGGATTAGGCGCAATTTCGCCAGCTAACATGTGACAAGGCAGAAGTTTTATGCATATTATCATTTTTTTAAATTTTACTCTCTACATCATTAAAAAAAAATATATAAAATGCCACCTAAGCAGGGTTAACGGCACAAATTAACAGAAGGACTAACGAAGTGCATTTTGTATAGTTAAGGGATCAAAAAAATGCAAAAAATTGTTGAGCGACCAAAAATGTGCATTTCATAAAGTTAAGGAACCAAATTAAGCATTTAACCTAATTTTTAATCTAAGTAATGACATTTTCAAACCGACTAGCAGGCTGCAGTAGGCATGGCGTGGCAGCATCCTATCCTAAGGTGATTTTTGACTCAGATGACAAAGACACTTATTCTGGCAGTCAACAGAGAAACTGCAGGACCATGGCAAGTATAGAAACTGTCATCCACTATTTTTCTGGAACTCAGGTGGTTGTTTTGCGTACATATCGACCATGACCATAGGAGACCAAGCATGTATTAACAAGTCAATCCCATCTTACTAGTTACTACGTCCACCCAAAATTTTCATTATTAATTTTTTTTATTAACCTCTTAATATTCGATAATCATATTAAATATTAATTAATTCAAAATTAAGTTATGTCGAACATAATCAAGAAAAACCCTTTTAATATCTATTTTTTTATTCATAAAACTTTAACTTGAGATTTTATTTTTAAAAAAATTGAACTCCTTTCACTCGAATTAGTAAGTCATTAATTTTCCAAAATTCTTATTATAATGTTCTTTTGTTTCAAGATATGAATGAGTGTATCATTTGTTATATAAAGATTGCTGAAGTCATAGAGTAATAGTGCTTTCTCTTATTATATGCAAATTTAGAAAAGGCAATGCAAAATATGAGAGGATGTTAAGAGAATAAAGGTGTGTTCGGGTTGGATGATTTTATCCTTTTATACCTTTTTTTTTTCTCTAAAACAATTAGTTGTATTGTTGAGAAATATTAGTTATAAGGCTAATTTTAAATTTATATCAATTACCTTATCAATTATCACTTAACATTTATAATTATTAACTATTTATTATAATTAAACTAAACAAAGTATTAGTAAAAAATAATCTAATAATTAAAAGTGGGTCAAATAATTAAAACCTAAAAGTGCCTTAAGTGATTAAAAACATTCTTAAGTCCTAAGAAGGAGTATGGAGAATTTGAAACTTTGGAATCCCTAATTCCTATGTATATCAAAAATAAAGGGGGATAATCTTAAAATATTTGCATACTAAAATATGGATATTTCCCTCCCATGAAGTACACTATAGAAATTAAATTCCTATTAGATAATCGCACAAAAAATTCTTAATAAAATGAATTAGCAGGTGAGTTGACTAATGAAGATTTGAA